GACTTACACCTGTCCTGCCTAAGTAGGGCTGAAGCTGAAAGGGTACATGTTCGCACGAGTGGCTGCACAGGTCCTCAAGATTTGAAACGATAGAATTACAGCATAGGCAAGCCAACGAAGTCGGCATGTTGGGGGCGGCTTTCATGGTGGAGGGCCCCCGCGTTTCGCAGTGCCCCCGAGCCAGGGATCCTTTGAGGTGTCGTGCGGCCGTGGATTGACACCCAAAGACCTGCCTACAATGGATGCAAGTGTTGGTCGGGGTGAGGACGTGGCACTGGTTCCTCAAATTATGGACTTGCCTGAGGTGGTTCATGAGCTCCCTTCGAGTCTAAAGGCCGCCGTGCATGCCCCTTCCTCTGTCTTCAGGTCACAAACATAAGGATGTTCAATACCATCCACCTCGCACTCCTGCCCAGTGACCCCGACGTTGCGCTTCACCCTCCTGAGTTTGACCCGGTGGGGGAATGCAAACAGAGACGAGACGGGATCGGACCTCCGTGACATCGATCTGCACGAACTCAGAAGCCCGCTCCTCATCCTTCAAAATCCTAAGGCCCCCATGGCTACCTCCTCCACCACTTCGCTATCCAGAATGCGCCCCACCTCCTCCAAATCCTCTTTGACCTGGACCAACCAAGGGGAAGAATATTGCGTGGGTTGGCCTCTAAGCAGTTGGGGTCGAAACCTGTCTATTGGCGTAGCCCCAAAAAGACTGCCAAGCACCTGGGAGTTCTCCCGAGGCTTTCGCGCCCAAGCCTGGTACATGCGAACGCGCCGAAGGCAAAGTTCAACAGAGCTAGGTGCCAATTGCCAGTAACAGAGAACCTGCTGCGTTGATAGACAACGAATGTGATCGCCCTTCTCGACTGTAAAAGCGGTGGAAGCCTTTCCCATCAGTGCAATACGTCCTAGAGCGGCTAGCCCCCGGTCCAGGCGATCATAATCGGTGCGCTTCAAAACCCACGACTCCATCCCGCTGAGGATTGAATTCTGGGCAAACCCAATAAGTAAAACCCTCCTCCATCGCTTTGGTAAGTCCAATGACCAGACCCCGCCCAACCTGTGAAACGAAGCCCGAGAAGCCACAATGCGACGACCGACTTCCAAGGCAACCGAATCCCTGAGCACAATGTGGGGGCCGAGGTACCTGGCATCATCCTGCAATCGGCCCTGCAGGATCTCCGGGCTATCACGTAAGAACTGCTTGTTCGAGTGCGCGCGTGCTGAAGTGAAACAGAAACTCTTGTTTGGACACGTTCTGACCGCACCCGATACACTGTAACATCGACTTGAGAGAGGAATCGACTCGCTGTAACTTTGTGATAAACTCCCTCAGGGTACTGCCCTTGTCTGCCAGCGCGGTTTCATTGAGGTCATCGGCGTATTTGAGGAGGGAGAGATCCGTCTGGAGCCCTCCCCATTTAGCCCGTAGATCCCCATAAGCTTTACCCCTCTGCATTAAGTCATATTCCCAATTCAACACTGGTCTCTTTAAAGTCGAAACGCGACAATAAATGGATCACCCATTGTCCCACCTTGCCAAGGTTTTACGAGCAACCCTCCGCTATTGGTAGGAAGCAAGATGGTGGAATCCAAAAAACGCTGCTCGCATAGGCCGGCGTCGCGGTCAAGTGCATGCATGGCGACAGACATCTTCAAAGCCTCGAAAGTACTACTGCCAAATGCGTTGGTCATATCTTTCAGGCATGCGCAGTGCGTTCTCTGTGGTGCTGCACAGGCGCCATGATGTGTTGAGCGAAATCAAGATTGGCGTTCTCACGTCGGCGACCTCCGACGAAACCGTGGTCCGAGGTGGTGGGGGAAGGGCCCAGACGCTTGGCGAACCATCCTTTCCCAATAGCTGCTAACAAATGAACAACCGGAGGAGGAGGAGGGAGGAGGAGGAGGAGGAGGAGGAGGAGGAGGGGAAGGGGGAGGAGGTGGAGGAGAGGGAGGAGGAGGAGGAGGAGGAAGAGGAGGAGGAGGAGGAAGAGGAGGAGATGGAGGAGGAGGAGGAGGAGGAGGAGGAGGAGGAGGGAGGTTGACATCCACAGCCTTAGAGCCCCTCAAAGGGGGCAGATAGTCTCGAGATCCGCAGTGACCCCGACCCTCTTGCGATGAGGGTGGAGACCTTTGCCCAATCTCGACCAAACCTCACTTCGAGCAGGCGGACAACCAAGGCATTGCCTGGCGAGCCGCCTCATCTGACCTCCAGTCGTGCACGCAGCACAGACCTGGCAGACGCACGCGAAGCTACCGTCGCCGAAATCTACCACGAGGCATCGATGCTCGAGCTCCCGCAGCCTTGCGGGATCGACCCTTTAAAAGACGGTCGCAAGTTCCTGGAGAGACGGCTTGGCCGAGACGCGGGAGCCTCTGAAGCGGCGGCAGCACTGCCAGAACTTCCCGACCCAACTCCAGTCGCGCAGTCCTCCTCCTCCTCCTCCTACTCCTCCTCCTCCTCCTCCTCCTCCTCCTGGACCGAAAGGGGGGGGGGGGGCTCGACACGGGCAACCCCCTCAAGATTGGCCCGAGGCCATCTCTCCATGATCTGCGCTGCCAGCTTCGTGACAGCACGGGCAACGGAGCGTAACAAGTCAATCCCAGCCGTCTCGTTGGCAGACAGCCTGGGGTGTAGAAGGGCGCCTTCTTTAGCTGCGGCGTCCGCAGCGTTGTTCCCGATGGTGTGCAACCGCCCAGCCATCGGGAGAGAATCATCATCTTCCTGGTGGGCCCGAACCTTGGACACGTCCAAAAGAAAACCCTGGGAAAAAAGCATCCGCCTGCATCACCAGCCCGAAGTAAGGCCGATTCGGATGCAGGCGGTCCCGAGCGTTTTTGGAAAACTCGTTGACCACAACTTGGCAGCCGGAGTAAAAAGAAGCATTCGCCGAGAGGAGCGAAGCAGCACTCGCAGGAGCAGCAAATTCAACCGCAACGCTCGTCTGCGGGTAGAAGCCTCCGAATTGCCCGAACACCCTTGCAAGTATGCGGCCCTGTTCGCTGAGCCAAACCACCCGACCCGACCGAGAGAGGTCTTTGACCGTGGATCTAAAACATGAGCCGTCGCCATATAAACGCCCCAAAAGCTCCCTCACCCCTGGGTCCGGCGGAGGGATACCTTCCTCGGCGAAAGCCTGACGGAAATTCTGAAACCGAATGGCACGATGGCTTCATCCTGGGACGACGGGGGAGGGACGTTTCTGGCAGGGTGCTGAAAAAGGCCTGTCTCACACAAAAGCTCAAAACCAGGAGAAGGGTCAACTAGCTCCGACCTCACCCTGGCCAACAACTCAGTTCCGACAGTGGCAGTCCTCTCTTCCTCACACACAGGACAATGCCACAACATATGGAGCACTGTGTCTCCGTGCTGACCGCAAAGAGGACACAGGTCTTCAATAAGACACCCGTTCGAGACGGCCTTGCCGAGAGGCCGTAACGCCCTACAAACAACAGCACGGACCGCCCCCTTCTGTTCTTGTTCGACAGCTTTTTGGAAGCGAGGGCCCGAGAAACAATATCAAAACAAAGCCGCTGGCCGCTACTGTGCTTGGATCCTACTTCAATCTCAAGCCATTTCAAAACGGTGGCCTTCAAGAAACGCTTCACGAGGGCGGGGGAGGTGGTGATGAGGGGAATGATCTTATCATCCTCGTCGACCATCGTGAAGGGGTCGGTTATACTCCAGTTGATTCTTTGCAGCGATAAACACATAGCCCCCACTGGGCCTCGGACCGACCTCCAGGACTTCGGGGGGGAGCGCCACGTCGCACTCCAAGCCTGACGAAGTTGTTCCCAAGACAGGGCCAACGGTGTCGCACGGGATTGGAGCAGCCAAAGTTCTTTGCAGCATCTCGCGATAGGGGCCACACCTCCAAACCAGGCAGGGTCGCTGTCGATGCGGGTTAAAGTCGAAAGGCTCCGACTTCCACTGGATGGCTTCATGGTCGAGGCACACAATCTTCTCACTTTGGCCAGCTCCGCGTCTGTCATAGCGTGGACCTCCGAGCCGTACTGCAGGCCCGCCGAAGGACCAAACATAAAAACCTTAGCCGCTCGACGGCCAAGGACAGGCCGTTGCTTCGCAAGACGTCGAGTCATGCGGACAGCCGCTGAGAACCTAGCCTTCGCCTTAGCTGCACGGCCGCAGACCCGACGAGGCAGGCCAGCAGTCACATCGAGGACGAGGAGGAGGAGGAGGAGGAGGAGGAGGAGGAGGAGGAGGAGGAGGAGGAGGAGGGAGGAGGAGGAGCAGGAGGAGGAGGAGGAGGACGAGGAGGAGGACGGGTCGCCTAAGCCCTTCGGAGAAGCCCTCCACCAGAGCCAGACCTCCGATGTCCCGATGTCTGGAGGAGAGGAGAGCAAACGCCCCGACGACAGCGGACTGCGCGAGCAAGCGCATCAGAAGTAATTCGTGTGAGACAGGCGGACTGGCAGAAGCGGAACTGCGGGCAGTTCTACCAATGACCTCGGGGGCGCGTGCGCTACTTGCCGGGGCCACTGGAGCTCCGGGCCACTTCCTGGGGGCCGAGACTCCGAAAACTACAGCAAAAAAACATCCGTCTTGCATAGTTCAATGCGTGGGGCGTCGGAGGAGAGTCGGTGACTCACTGCGCCAGGCCCGTCGTATCCGGAGAGACCAGGTCCAGACGGAGTGAGTTTAGACGGAGGCCGAGCACTCCGTGCGGACTTGCTCCGCATGGGCTCAGCTTCCTGCCAGGAGGGGCGAAGTCCAGACGGAGTTAAGCTCCTACGGAGACCGAGCACTCCGTGCGGACTTGGCATCCACCGATCGTGGCCGCCCGGCAGCTGCGCAGGGACCCCGCGGGGCCGGTGACTCGCTCGGGGGCGAGAGCTCCGCGGGGCCCTCATCTGGGGCGCCGCTCGCGAATGGCAGGCTGTTGGCTGGCCCTCGCCCGCCGCACTCGCCAGAGAGACGGCCTCGAGTCTGGAACCGCCTGGGGTGGGGGATACCCTGACGTCCTCGCGTCGTGAAAAAA